CGCCGGGAAGAGCGCAATGATGGTGCCAACTTGGGCCAGTGAAGCCACATCCTCTACAACTAGACTGAAGAACAAAAGGACAGCAACTTGTCTGTTCCCTTTCCCCCAATTCCCCAGCGCTGTTCCCATCCCCCAATTCCTCAATAAAAAAAATCTTAAAAAAAATAATTACATAGGCCAACAGGTGCACAGAATACCTGAAGATTAAACTTAGCTGTCAAATGTAAGTCAAACATGCTAAACCAGAGTATCTTAACCTTGGCTCTACTGACATTTTGGGTTGGATAATTCTTCATTGTGGGTGGCTATCCTGTGAATTCTAGAATGTTTAGAATTATTCCTGGCTTCTACCTACTAGATGCCTGTAACACAATCCTCTGCCTGCCCCTGCCTCCAAAGTCATGACAATAAAATATCTTGAGAGGTTGCCAAATGAGACCCTGGGGAGAAGGGCAAAATTGCTCCCCCCATCCCCTGACCCAGTTGAGCACAACTGGCCTAAACAGTGTGCATACACTGTAGCAGGAGCCTTCGAAATGTAATAAGGTCCTATGTTTGTTTTACTGGGGAGTTCAATATTATCACTCACAAAATACATTCTAATTATGAGACTGGAGTTTCAGAGACTACTTCCAGATGTTAATTGAGGATGAAGGAGCCAGCCTGTCCTTGCTTCTTTCATGTGTAGCTGTTTTTGGTCATACAACAACAACAACAACAACAACAAAAAGCTTACTATATCATAAAACTAATTCTACTTTCACTTTGGGAAGATGCAATATGTGCATTTTTCCTTATTCTTCTAAGTACAAGTACTAACCTTGGACATTATTTGTAACATAAACGTGAGAAGACTCCAAAAGTTGGAGAAAGGGACTCATAGTAAAGATGCTGTCCCCTCTCTCCCTTGTGTCCCTGGTCGCCATGTGGGGAACAGTAATGAGACATTCCTCTCTCTCACAACCAGAATGGTATCAGTGGAGGCCTGGCGAGAATTCCTAACCCCACCCAGCAATAACAAAGAGGCCCTCACTCCTGCTGTCAACAGAGACCACGTTGGGAACCTGGACTACTACCTCTACCTGGCAGCAGTGAGGCAGCTCCTGCCCTCCCCCAAATGCCCCTACTACAGCAGTGTCAGAGAAAGCCAGCTAAAACAGAAAGTTTAAATAAGATCCAGACTCTCATAACTTAATACTCGAAATGTTCAGGTTTCAATAGAAAATCACTTGCCATACTAAGAACCAGGAATATCTTGACTTGAAAGAAAAGGCAATCAATAGATGCTATTGAGATGACAGAGATGTTACAGTTATCTGACAAAGATTCTAAAGTGGCCCTCAAAAATAAATGCTTCAGTAAGCAATTATGAATACACTTGAAACAATGAAAAAATAGAAAGTCTTAGCAGAGACATAGAAAGAAATAGAAGATATAGAGGAGCCAAAGGAAAATTTTAGAACAGAGAATAACTGAATAAAAACTAAATGGGGCTGGCTGAGTGGTGCAGTTGGTTAAGAGCTCGCTCAAGTGTTTGAGCTCTGAGCAACAGCGGTTCGAGTCCCGGCCCGAGCTGAGCAGCTAAAAAAAAAAAAAGCATTGGGGCTGGCCGAGTGGCGCGACGGTTAAGAACTGGCTTGGGATGCCAGAGGGCCCCAGTTTGGATCCCACATATGAGGGCCAGTGACACTGTCCTCTACAGCTAAGATGCTGAACAACAGCTCAACCTGGAGCTGGGCTGCCGTGAGTTGCTGGCGACGGCGT